GATCGAAAAAGAATGGTCAGTTTACTAGAACATATGGCTGAAATAATGTCTCCACTTGAAAATGGCATTAAACTAATGAATCCTTACAATGAAGAAGTTGAGGTATAGTTTTAAAAAATAGTATAGTTTTATATATATTAAAAATAGGTATAGTTTTTTAAAAATTTTAATTCTGGCTTAAAATGCACCTGCTTACTTCGACTTATTGTTATTTTTTGCGCTTCTTTATCATGAGGTTGCTCAAATTTCTGAATTCAGGCTCGCGCTTATATTTTTATATCACCTGTCGACAAACCGGTACGTTGTAAGGTACAAAATCATAAACAGTTTAATGGTGAATACGGTTGTGGGATTTGTGAGCAGTCAGGTAAAAACTGTTCCATTCTTCAGAAAAATTAAAATATTACTTTTGTTACTGTTACTAGGACAAATGCTGAAAGAAATAGATCCGGAAAAGTATTCGGCTAGCCGAGCACTGGTGTATCCATATAATAACGACGAGCCAGATGGCCCGTTAAGAACACGTGAATCAATTGATGATTGTGCCGATAAAGCTGGTGATACCAAGAAATGTGTTAGAGGTGTTTCTGATCTTCGTCCATTTTCCACCTTAAAACATTTCGACATCGTTCATGGTTATGTAATCGAAACAATGCACGGTATTCACTTGGGAGCACTGAAACGTTTATATTCGTTATGGTTCAATAGTAATTTAACCGCTCCATGGTGTCTTCGATCATATATAGATGAAATTAATAATAATATAAAAGAAAATGTGTATGTTCCATCTGGTGTTAGTAGAACAGTTAGAAAAATTAAATACGTTCACAAATGGAAAGCAAATGAAATACGTATTTTTTTCTTCTGTTATTTTCCGATCTTAGTTAAACATCTCCCTAATGAATATTCTGAAAATTATTTATCATTTATACATGCCATATTTCTCTTATGTACAACAAAAAAAACGGGGGATGAAGTTCAAAAAGCAACAATTCTATTAAATTCATTTGTTGAAAATTTTGAGAAACTTTATTGGTTTGAAGAGATGGTATCCGTCATTCACGATATGTTACATTAGGTTTACATGTAGAAGTGTATAATGCTATTCATTCATGGTCCGGCTTTGGATTTGAAAATTTGAACGGTTTATTGGTAGAGTCAGTCCATGGTATGAAAAATCCTTCAACACAAATAATAAATTCATTTGTTTTATTCTTAAAATGTTTATATATTTTCAATCAAGACAAAGATCTTACGTCAATATTTCGTGAGTTCGGGTCAAAAATTCTATTAAATAAAAAAAAGGAATCATCAGCAGTATGCATTTGTAAATTATTTTCGTGTCGTCTAGTAAAAAATAGAATTTTATTCTACTATTTCGTTTCAATTAATGTCGCAAATTATTATTATTGTAAAAAGGGTTGGTACAAAAACTCACTGATACGTAGTAATTTATTTGCTAATCGAATATATGAAGATAGTGTGTTATTATTAGAACAAGATAGTATTATTCATTGTGTATGTATTATAAAGAAAGATAATGATGAATGGTCATTTTTTGCACATACGTTTATAGAGGATCAGACAAAGCTGAATACAGTTTTAAATGGGTATAATAATAATCAACATCCATCGGTTTTGAATGTTGGAAATTCTAATGGTACTATAACAGAATATCCCTTATCTTCATTTAAAGAACGTTTGGCCGTAGTTGATGTAGAAGCGGAAAATATATTGATTATTGTTCGTCTACCATGTTTTTGCGAGCATAATTAAATGAGTTGTTAAAAGAAATTTGTTTTACCTATTTGTGCACAAATATTGGTTACAATCGACAGCTCACCTTATGTTTTTGCAAACATTGACGGTTAATGGAAAAACTGGCTGAGTAAAGAAAGAGGATAAATGGTAAAAATTTTAAAGCTCTTTATATATTGACTAACATACATTAACAAAAATAAAACTAGTTCTTTTTTTCCTTTCACTAACCTAGCATACGGACAAGATCTTTTCTTTTCATATATATAGGAGCTGGACGATCTGATGCCAATACAAGCGCACATAAAGACTTGATTGTCTCCCGCCAAGAATCTTATGAGATTTAAAAGACTTTTTAAAGACATCGATGTATAGTATTGAACTATATTATATAACTTATAATTAGCACGGGAATCGACAAAACAAATTGGTGATTTGTCGCCAACGAATCTTGCCACTTCAGAGAAGAATCTTTAACGAAAAAGATAAAAAATCAATAAAACTTAAACGAGGAATCTTGTCCGGTCTATCAAGACAAAATTGAGGATTCTTGTCTGAAATGACAAGAGACAAGAATCTTTCAAAAATACCCATAAGAACGTCGAGTAGTAACAGCGAAGAGGAAAAAAAGACATTTAGTCTATACAGAAAAGAAGAAGTGAAATAAAGTATCATAAATATCGGTTCTAAGTTATATATCCATGCATATATACTATTCTAACGTTTTCTCGCTAGAAAGATTTATATAGAGATACGCATTTTATGACTTATACGACAAACACGTGCGTGATTGAAGAAATTTACGTTTTTTGTTTTCATTTTAAACGAAACGAAATAAATACTACCGTTATATAAGACAGTCAAACTGCTTGTATTTGCTTTTCCTGCTTTTGCAAAGTAGGATTAAATAAAAAAGTAACTAATTTACAGCGTAAGTACACAGCAGTTCCAGTGAGAGAGTAAGAACACTTAAGTCGTTCCTGCTTTATTCTTGCACAATTGAAATTTTTCTTTAGCTATTTTGTGTCTCAGAATAAGTCTACTTTATGAGAAAATACACCAAATCTAAAGACTTCGTTGCTGTACTACAGCAACGAAGTCTTTAGATTTGGTGTATTTTTTTCTGACATTGATTGAGTCTATGGCATAGACTCAATCAATGTTTACTGTAGAAAGATCTCAAATAAAATACACAGAAGTGAGAAATGCATTACAGATTGATGTTTTTGTAGCGATTGTGAGTATCCTCGGTGTAAGATCGCTTTGTTGTTAGTGACTCTCAGGATGTAGCAAAGATCAGTTCGGTCCTATTTGACGCACAGAGGATTGGGGCTCAGCCATTCCGCCTCATTCATAGGATGCTAGAATGGCTCTAGAACTGATATTAGCGGTAATATCTACGGATATACATTCTCTGAAAGTCCAAGGGTGAATGTTTTCTTCACATATGACAAATGTCACCTTATCGGTAATTTTCATACGCGAACTATAAAACATTAACTGCTCTCACTTTTATTTTGAGATCAAATACCAATTACATGTAGAACTCCAATTGAGAAATATACAGACGAACTTACAGAAATCAGAGATTGAAGCTGTTTTAGAAATATCTGTCAGGACTTTCTTAAAAGTTCAAATGAACGTTAACCCTTGTACTACCAACCAGGGTCCAAATGGACCCTGTTCTCGGAAAAATGAAAATAAAATGAAAATATTTTGTTCAGAGTTCCGGTTTTCGCCATGCGAAAGAGGAGACTTGAGGGCATATTTTCACAAGCAAAATTATTTTCAGAAGAGTTTTCTGAAACAGATTTTCTAGGAGATCTTTGAAAAATCAGGTCGTGTGTCAGACTTTTCCAATAGGATTGTATTGATTTTTTTCATGAGCTGATAGCTCGGGATGTTTTCTTGAAAATGGAAGCCAGGCGAGGCCTTGATTTTGCGCGGTTCGGGCGTTGCATCGGATTTCCTACGAGTCCTAAGACTAACACCCGATGACTATTGGTAGCCTTAAAGACGGATGGACTATGAGTAATCAACCATGCTGAGTCTCGTGGCAATATTGGTTTTTAGAAAAAATTAAAAATCTAGCGAAAAGCGAGTTTTACAAAATTAGGGTTTTCAGGCGGTTTTCACCTAATATTAGAAAATTCATTATTCACTCAAAATACATCAGAACAAACTCAAAACCTCAGGATATGATTAATGTTGTCTGCTAAACGTGATCATAAGATCGAAAAGATCGAAAAAGCATATTTCTGTTAATACGTTTTCTAGAAACCGTTTTGGAAAACCTTAGGGTTCCAAAGGGGGGTTCCAAGTTTCTAACACATGCTACAAATGTTCAGAGCCTGTATGCAAACAGCATAGTGTGAAACGCGTTTTTTGTATTAATTGTTCTAAATAAACAAAACCTATTAGTTTAGTCATTTTTGATTGACTAATACTTAGAAACAACTCAGTTTTAATCAGATGCTTGTTGAAAAGAGAAAAAGAATATCTTTCTCAAAATGCATTCTATTTTTATCGCTAAAAATAGGCTTGGGAGTACTACGGTTAATGTAGTTCTATAACAAGTGGAAATGAATTAGAGAGAATGTTTACAAATAATATTGCTGTGCACTCATTTTGAGCTCAACCTTGAAGCAAGTCTAAGGTGAATGATTCGCCTTGATTGCATTATGTTCCTGACGAGAAAACAGGGTAAAACATGATGGAATCAGTGTCGCAACTACCTTAAGAAACATTTTCTTTCATATCAAAACTTTTTCCATTCTTTTGTATAGAAATCGCTGCATAAAAGTTTATCGACATTAATATAACTTCTGTGATGGACTTTTATGTTCCTGTTTGCGAGTATTTAAAGTGCCTCTCTCTTGTTATACGCACATGTCTTTAAGGAATGTTCCTTACTTTTCTGGTTAAAGAATGAAGACCAGCAGTAACTATGAAAATTAGATATCGAGAACCTGTTGTTTCAACTAAACTCGAATATCTTGGACAAATAAAATGATATTATAGTACGACGAAGATATCGGATGACGAGGTAATTGGTCGTTGATTCATATTTAAACCTCAGCTTGTTACTTTAACAATAAGAATGTATTTTTTAATCCTTTTAGTCTATTGTATGATAATTAGTAATTATTTACACTTAAACTAATTAATTAATTCATAATTTTAATTTAAATCTCATTAATCTCTCTTTGTGCGTGATGAATAAAGTCTTCTTTGCTGATCCGATGCACGTCAGCGGCATACACAATATCTGCACTAGTGCGTTGCTTATTTTGACCAGGTTAAGAATTACGTATGTCAGACTTTGTTCTTATAATAAACAAAAATTATATTTTTTTTTGACCATTTTTAACTAATAAATTTTCAAAAATTTCTTTTCCTCAAGAAAACGAGATGACCCCCTTCGAGATGAACACTATCACATATGTAACTGATCGTTCAACAAGCTTCCTGGTCCCTAGTTGGCAACTCCGTAGGAAAAAAAATATGATCAATGTTTTTTCATGCTGTTTGTCGTCAACTATACTTGACTCAATAAGAGAGAGTCAGTATAGATCCGCAGCACAGTGGTTTATGCAGAGAAAATGAATTTTTGCGTCGCCGGTTCGAACCCGACACGAATCTTTTTGCTTTTTTCAAAATCTAGTGCTGTTTGAACACAAATCAAGTAATCATACAATGTCGAAGTATTTACGTTCTTTATATTTCAGATTTTTCCTATTGTAATGAACGACTCAGAGAAGAAAGATTATAAAAAAAATATTTTGCTTTAAAAAAAAAAATATAAAACAGTTGTTGAGAATAATAGAAAAATTGTGAAAGAATTAGACAACAAAAAAAGTTTTTGTTCGTGAGTTGCCATCTACATGTTTCATAAAATATTGTATATTTTTTGTCGTTTCAGCTGCACCACCAAGTTCATGGATTCATCAAACATTGGCCATTATTCAGTCTCAACCAGCTGAGGTTAAAAATTACGTATGTCAGACTTTGCTCTTATAATAAAAAAGACTATATTTTTTCTCTCTGCTTTTACTTTAGAAAATTCTATTAGCACCAGAAGTTTTACGTTCATGCTTAAAGAAAACGCCAACATTCACTGCACGTGAAATTGTTAAATGTTTATTTCCTGATCAAGAAAAATTAACAACACTGAAAGCATCTGATTTAAATCATGAATTATTCGGTTCAACGGGTAACCTTAAGACTTATTGAAAAGACGATAAAAAAATTAAAAAATTGTAGATTAAATCTTTCCGAGTACAGTTTCTCTTTTCAAAACTTCTGATCCAAAAGAAACCTTACCTAATATCTCTTTTGTTCTCATTTCTATTTTATCTAACTGTCTGGCATCATTTTTGATCAGACAAGATTGAAGTTTGTTGCTGCGGTTGAGTATTCGTGTTTTCATCCTTCAAAGGTTTCGGTGCCGTATGCCCTATTGTCTGGATTGCACTTTATTGTAGAATATAGGCCCAGTAACAAAAAAACAGTTAGCCGCTTTTATTATTTTGTGATCAAAATGGAAAGTTGATAAAGAGCTGTTGAGAAGATTTCTAAGTCATATCTAACTAGGCTACATTGCTAATCGAATTTCTTCGCTTGATTTATTGCTATGTTTTCTAACTTTAGAATATCTCAAAGATCGTTTTTCGCCACCAGTTGTTGTCGATCCTTGTAAAATCAAAAAGGGCATTACAAATGCTGGTGCAGAAGCTAGACAGTCGTTAGGATTTCTTGTTTTAAAAGTTCCAGAACGTTCAAATCGTGTCAGTAATCGAGACGGGTCGACAACAACGGCTGGAGATGGTCACAATTCTGATCAAACATCCTTATTGTCTCCACTTCAACCACCACCGTCGATCACTTTTGTCAAAACCGACGATTCGAATGCTCCCTTAACCGATTCAACCAACACAAAAAATACTCAATCACAACAAAAATGAAAAAAAAAAGACATTCTAATATACTCGATAGCGAATACGTCGAACATTTATCACCGAGAAAACGAAACGAAAATGATGATTCGATTTTTGAAACAATCAGTAACTATGACTAATATGTTTTTTTTCTCCTTCATCCTTCATAGTGAAACGCCTATTATCTATTTTAGACACGAGCGAAAATAGATATTTTATGACTAATCTTCAAACAAGAAGAGATGGCGGTCTTCGAGTTTCACTGACTGACAGTCCAGACTTGATCGATTATTCTTATAGAAAAATAAGTTTTGAAATCTTTGCAAGCATGTTTTTGAAAGAATCCTTTAAAATCAGTCCGTATTTGAAAATTCGGCTTGGTCAAGTAACGCTGCAACCGCAGTGTTCATCCGTAACGTATTTCTGCATTTTATTTCTTTTATAGTCTTTGAACGAAAGCAGATCCAGAGCTCTGCAACATCTTAAATTGAAGAGAAAAGTATCTTGAACATCTTGAGATGTTTTCACACTCTACGTTAACTTTTGTTCAAAACTGTAATAAAAATACAAACATTTAGTTTTTCGGATAAGTTCGGATAAGACCTATACCTATAAAGTAGGTAGGTATAGGTTAGAAAATAGTGATGTCATTTTGATTGGTATACAGTTACAAACAAAGTCATACTGCTCGAATTTTGTGTGTGCGAGTGCGTGTGCACGTTGAGTATGCGTGCATATAAAAATACAAAGGCCTACTTTTCAAACTTATCCGAAAAACTAAATGTTTGTATTTTTATTACAGTTTTTGAACAAAAGTTAACGTAGAGTGTGAAAACATCTCAAGATGTTCAAGATACTTTTCTCTTCAATTTAAGATGTTGCAAAGCTCTGGATCTGCTTTCGTTCGACGACTATAAAAGAAATAAAATGCAGAAATACGTTACGGATGAACACTGCGGTTGCAGCGTTACTTGACCAAGCCGAAGAGCGAAAATCCTAGAAGAGCACTTGTCCTAGACGAGAAAATGTCCGAAAGCTTTTGTCTTAGAAGAACAATAGTCTGAGAGCTTTTTCGCCGGTAGCCGATGTCCTAGGATAGCAAAAGTCCGCGAGGTAGGGAGTATGTGATCCAATACCTCTTGGGACTATACTCATATCAAAGAACAAACATTGTTCTATTTCAGTTTGTCAAATATGGACTGATTTTAAAGGATTCTTTCAAAAACATGCTTGCAAAGATTTCAAAACTTATTTTTCTATAAGAATAATCGATCAAGTCTGGACTGTCAGTCAGTGAAACTCGAAGACCGCCATCTCTTCTTGTTCGAAGATTAGTCATAAAATATCTATTTTCGTTCGTCTCTAAATAAGTAAATGAATCCTATCTTTCGCATTGGTTATTGTTTTTGTGAGGAGAAGTGAACCATTTCTTTTCGACTTACCTTACACGTTGATGAAACAGTTTTTTTGATTTCTATTTTGAACTTTTTCTTATGTTGGTTGTTTTCTGTATTAACAGAGATTAGAAGTAGTTGCTTTTAAAAGAAATACATAGTGTGATGATATATTTCACCTGATTATGTACGTGTCCCACGCGGCGTATGTATGCGAGAAACGTTGTGTATGTTTTTATTCGATGTGATCTGTATGTATCGATCTTATTGTAATATGACAAAGATCAGCTTTTTTCGTGTTATGATAGAACTGACCACGATTCATGTAATGAAACAAACACTTTTTAAATGTTGCGGCGTTCGCTATTGTATACGTTTCGTTCTAAATCTTTACTGACAAAACAAATAATCTGAAGTTGTTCTTTACTGAGTTTTAAACAGGAAAAGATTTACAAAACCTCTTGGTTGTGTGTTTGCTTATGGTTTGTCAATTAGTTTTTGTATCTTTAAACTCAGAAAAATCTAAGAAACAGCTTTTAGGGAACATATTCTGAGAAATACTGGGTGAGAACTTTAGTAAAACAGCTCAATAAAAGAAACGGCACTGATTTTTACCAGTGCGGCACCCATGCGGTACTGATTTTCACCAGTGCGGCACTTTTTTGCAGAAATATATCGGCACGGGTGCCGATCGGCACTGGTTCGGCACTTGCTTGGCACGGGTGCGCACTGGTGCCAATCAGTGCCAATGACCGATGGCATGCCATGCGCACCGGTGCGCACTGGCAGTGCCGCACTGATTTTTACCGGTGCGGCACTGGAATTTTTTTTATAGGGGAGTGAAATGATTTATTAAATTCTAAGTTTTCAAAAATGATTCACATGATATTCACATGTTCTGACTCGTACTCAGAAGCTAGACTAGAAGTAGAGCTCAATCTAACAGAATAAGTTTTCCTCTACAAATAGATTTTATAGCCAAAATTTCTATACTGTAGCTTAAGTACTTTTTGATATTTCGAAAATCTATTTTTATATAAGATTCCAATGACGATGAAAACAAAGACTGTCATTTCTGCCTACTTTTCAAAACCATGAAAAAACTAAATACAAGAAAGAAATTAATTAAGTTACATACATATTTATATAGTTTAGTGAGCTACCTATACAATCATATATTACTCCCTGTATGATAATATATATGAGCAGAATATGTGATTTGATTTTTTTAACTTCTTTTTGTCCGTGGGAGACTACGATTTCCTACTTTTCGAAACTTATGTTCTTAATGTATACCAGACTGAAATGAGACTAAACAACGGTTCGATTCCAGATATGACTTTTGGAAGTGATACTTTGAAGATATACTTTGCCCTATCTATCCACTACCATTTGCTCATGCTGGAACTGACCAGGAGTGTCAAGTTAGGTGGTCGATGTCCCGCATCTCGATTAACGAGCACTACCGCTTATATAGTGGTGTTAGGGTATATACACACTTGTTTCCTCGACGTTAAAATGAATCTGCAGCATTTTACTTCACATTGAGGATCTGATAGATGGAACCTTTTACCGAAAGATTAGCATTCTTTTTGACGAAATATGAGTGTTCATCAAGCTGGAATCAGAAGAAAAACGACTTGAACTAATAAAAATATCTTGAAGGTGTTGTTTTTTTCTTTTCAAGGTGAAAATTATATCATCTTGTAGAGATTTCCTGCTCTATCTCCCATACGAATTGCCAGCTATTTGGACTTGATCTCAAAGTTTTCCTGAAACCCTCGGAAGTGAAATTTTTACAAACTGTCACTTTTGGGCTAGTTGTACTTGGTTCGAACATGATTGGATGGAGAATTGAAAACTTAAAACTTGAATTAAAAACCTCGCTTTAATTCCAGTTTCTTTTCTCTATATTTTAAATTTAAACATTAACACTGAAGTTTTTCGAACTAATAAAGGTCAAAAACAATCCAGATAAGATATTTCAACATTAGCGATACTAATGGACGTTATATGAATTATCGTCGCCTTCATGTACTCGTGTACTATCCATTTCAAAATAAAAGACACTTGGCCGCATTCTTAATAACTTTTGTTGCCACCAGCCAAAATTAAAACCCTTATATCTCGGTTAAATCTCATGCTGACTTAATGAAATTTTGAGAGCAGACTTAAAAGGAGTCATATATTGTTGATCAAGTCGAAAAAGGGGTCTAGAAGAAATGTATGTGTCCTGATAGAAAATGATCTGCTCTTTCCAATTAGGGGTGGCACATTACTGTTACTTTTAAGAGTAATCCAAATATTGTATATATTCCTATTACCAGTAACAGTAATACTTTCCAGTTTTACTGTTGCTAGTAATAGGAATGCTCATAAAATTTGTACCGGCAACAGTAAAACTGGAAAGTATTACTGTTACTGGTAATAGGAATACATACAATATTTGGATTACTCTGCAAAGTAATAGTAATGTGCCACCCCTATTTCGGATAACGTTTGTAATTTTAGTTTTTGTGGAAGTGAGATAATTGTAACGATGAGTCAAATGATTTGCAGAGATGATGGCTGTTATAATACAAGAAGGCGTTAATGCAGCATTTTTGAGCAGACGTTTTCCAGTCGTTTTCTTCTTCGATCCTTCTGTATCCACTTTTAGTAAGTGGAATTAAAGAGAACCTAACACTAAAAAAATAAGTGGGAGTTTGACATTTGTCGGAGCAATTGACATTTGTGATAAAATTAAAAGCCAAAACTTGATTGTTAATACAATTATTAAACACACAGAATTCCATGATGAAATTAAAAGATATAAACCAGAACCAATACTTTTTAGTTTTTTTATACGAAATGTTATTATTGACAAGAATCCATTGATTAATTCAAAAATGAGCATAATTGTTGTAATAATAATACTCATTTTAATAATGAATGGTTGTCGATAAAGCGAAACATTTGGTTGGATATGATAACCGAGAATATAATCAAGTGATAGCACCAAACCTCTTGTCGAAAACTGACATTTTGTACCATAATAACAATCTTGACATACGCAAATTAATTGGCTAGGACATTTAGCATTGTCATGAAAACATAGACCACCATTTTCACAAACATTTTCTCCTTGACAATCATACGATACGTTGCGATTAAGTGTAAAACAATTGGCAAAACGATCAAGATCACATATACAGATGTATCTTTCATCATAGAAGCACATGAGCTGTTTGTTTTGTTCACATAGAAGAGGATAATATTTAACACGACGAAGAGAAGAATAATTTAAAACATTAGTATTCATCGATTCATTTATGGAGAAACATTGATAATTTGATAATAATTTTGTTTGAATATACTCGGATTCGATAAATCTTTCTCGTAATACAGATAAATAATAGGTTTGATTTGTTAGTTCAACTAAAATGATATGAAATGGTTGTGATATAAATAGAGAAATTGTATTTTTTCCAAAGATAATTCTTTTCAGTGTTGTTATACGCTGATGATCGGCCTTTTCAAATGCAGTTATAACATGTACGAATATAAATTGCATTGCACTTATCTTCTCGTCATCAAATCCAATATCAACTCGATTTTTGTTATTTTCACATTTTGTTCCATAGAAATTTTCTGTACATAGACATGTAAATTTATTCAAAGCCATACGATCATCAATAGGTATGCAAAGTCCATTGTTTTGACAAGGATTATTTGATGTTTGACAAACTGAATGTTTTAGATAACATTTCGAACCAAATTTATTCACTGGACAAATACAAATAGATGATGTACGACATAACGAATCAGATGAACAAGAACAATTGTGTTTAATGCTACATTGTGAACCCGAATATTCTTGATCACATCTACAAAAATATGATAAATTTTTATTTATGTACTGTACACACCGGCCATGCTCGCCGCAAAATAAAGGGCATAATTTTGAAATCGTTGACATACTTGGAATGAATAGTTGAGTGGCAATTCGATTGACAGGTAGAAATTGAAATGGAATAAATAGATACCAACTTGCTATATATATTAATGTTATTTTATCAAATATGTCGATATGTATGGAATAATTAGTTGAAGAATTCTTTGGTTGATCTGGATAAAGTAGATAAAAGTTATATTTTTTACTACAATCAAGTTTTGGCACATATGTAAATTGTTCATGATATAGTTCGATTTGTCTTTGTTCATCAACTAGCATGATGATTACCTGAAAAACCGCTATAATGTAAGTGTTAACGCGATGTCCTAATTGAAGTGTTAAACTAACACGTTGATTTTGCCATTGACATTGATTACCGAAGTAACTTGGCGGACAGAAACATTTCTTTCCATTGGTGCCATTGAAGAGAACGAGAATTCCTCGATTGCAATACCAATTATCGATGTTAACAATTTGCGACTTGATAGTTGTTTGGTTTTCAGTTCTGGAGTTATTTTGATCAGGCAATATAGTTGATATTTCTGGATAATAGCCCAATTGCGATGATATAAAAAACGATTTGTCCGACTCTTTTATCGGCGAAGCTTTTGATACAAAAGGGCAAATATGTTTTTTAATTATCGGTGACCAATATTGCTTGTGTAAATAGCAGAATTTTCTGTCTTGTTGATCACATAAATAAACAGGTGCTGTTTGTACCGACACATAATTGCATACTTCTTCTACAGAACTACAGTGAATATCAGAAAAGAAACATGCTATGGTATTATTATTATTCGTACTATTAAAAGTGATTTCATGTTCAGTGTAAAAAATCTCGCAATCTAAGTACTTTTCCATTAAAGTCATTAATGGTGGACAAAAGAGATTTGTCGAGAACGGTTTCGGACATTGAGGTTTATTGAACGCACATTGTAATTTAGGACAATTAAATTCATCCGCACCATTAAAACAATTTTGAAAGGCATTACATCGAACATAAGGATTATTACATGGCCAATATTCACAATTTGTTTCATCGGTTTCATTCATTTTTGATAATAATGAGTAAGTCTTACCATCACATAAGAAACCGTACGGTATATCACCTTTTAAAATATTCCGTTGATTGTCAGTCATTTCATCTTCTTTACCGATACACTCATTCTTTCTGTTGTATAATGCAAATGGCGACAAGCATTTGTTTTGCTCAGATTCACAAGTAAATCGTTGTGAATCGTTCAGTTGACAAGTAGGGAATGCTTCATCTTCATCAAAATAACAGTCAGAAATACCATCAACAAGACGATGTTTTGAGACACATTTCAATGAAAGCGGACAATGAAAAAGAGATGGATGTGAACATGATTGTTCTAAACCGGTCGTTGTGCAACGCAGAAACAGTTTTTCAAGTCTATCTAGCACTTCTGTACCAGTAGCTAAAGACCCGTTATATATTACACCAGAAGGACAACAAATGAGTTCATTATTTAGTCCGATATCTACGGCGTACACGACCCATGCAGGACATTCTCTCGGATTAAAACAAATAAAATCAGGTTCCATCAATTGCAAAGCATCAAAAAATAATCGATCAGGTAAATAAACGAAATGAAACTTAGCATAAACGTAAGGTACATGAACCTTAAAAAGCCATTCTGATAAACATTCTTTGCTTATGGATTCACAGAAAACCAACATATACTGCGATGTTGAATTTATTAGTGTTCGATTTAGAACGTGTATGATCGATTTCAATGTGGAGTCAAAAAGTATTTCGTCCAAATACGAGTCGAACATGTCAGGAGGATTTAGAGTTGAACTTCTGTCTAAAAAATGTCGACCATTGGAACAAGGATGGGTCATCGGAGAAATGTCAGAAAGAGAATACTGACCATCACCACATGAATAGGAACGAAGATGTCGACTAGTATGCTCTTCACATCGAAATGTCGGAAGAGTAAAGCAAGCACTTTTAGAATAATAAAGGTCTTCTTCATATAATTCCATTTCATCACTACCGTCAAGACAATCTGCACTAGTAGGCCCATCTCGTACGAATGCCAATGGAATGCACTGTCCACCATAGTGACATCGATATGTGTCATCGGGACATTCACTCATTTCCAATGTTTGACAATATTGCTCATCTTCTCCATTGAAACAATCAAATTTTCCATCACAAATTTCACGCCAATCAAGACACGGTGACAATAAATCACTATAACAATTAGTTAGATAAGGATAACATGTAATGACATCGTAAGAAAGTGGCTGTGTAATTTTTAAACGGCTAATAAAGTTTAGTCGAACAATATCGTCAAACGACAATGGTAGTTCGTATGCAAATTTATATTGACATTTTGGACCAAACCAAGGTAATGAACAATTGTAGAAAACTTCCATTGAAACTTCATCTTTCATTTCATATTGTTCGGCAATTTTAATCGGTGCTGACCAGTTGAGTAATTGTGCACTTGTTACACCAAGTTTGTACAATTCATTAAATGGAATAATTTTTGCTATATTATTGAATGAAATATTTGACAATTGATCTTGTTCTTCATCTTGACTTAATCTTCTACAGTAGGGAATTATATGATAACTCGCTACGTTAGAAGAATCAATGTAGTCGTCATAATCCGTCAAATGAGCATAAAGACAGTCGAAGTTCGAGTTAAATATTGATGGATCATTTGAATGATATACAGAATAGAAAGTATTGAGCGTATTGAATAATGTTGGAAATATTATTAATCGTAGAGCATTCATAGTTGGTTGAATTAGTATTAATATAGTGACTTTTTTGTGTTTTTATAGTCGCTTTTATGGAACAGAATGTGTTTTATGTAACAAACATACATCGGATTTTAAAACATTTCCGTCTAATATTTGTTTTGGAGCTCACGGAAACTACTGATAACATTATTCAAAAAAAAGTATGACGCACGTTGAAATTAACATAGGAATTAAATATATTTTTAACGCTTGTGATTTTATCAATACGAGATCGAGTACATTACACATTGACTGACAATTGCTTTTCCATATATTTAATGGGTTTGTTAATCGGTTTAAAAATAATAATATAATTTAACGAAATCATCGTACTTTACTTATGATAATTTATCAAGATTCTATAGTAAACTATGTTACATCTGATATTACTTCTGATTTAGTATACTGGCTATTTTGACTATTTTGACTAAACGATCAAAAAGGTTTGGCTATTGTATGAAGTGCTAGATAGACTTGAAAAACTGTTTCTCCGTTGCACAACGAC